GTCTCTCAACTTTCTCTTCACAATATCCCACAGGTTCTCTATGGGGTTCAGGTCAGGAGAGTTGGCAGGCCAATTGAGCACAGTAATACAATGGTCAGTAAACCATTTACCAGTGGTTTTGGCACTGTGAGCAGGTGCCAGGTCGTGCTGAAAAATGAAATCTTCATCTCCATAAAGCTTTTCAGCAGATGGAAGCATGAAGTGCTCCAAATTCTCCTGATAGCTAGCTGCATTGACCCTGCCCTTGATAAAACACAGTGGACCAACACCAGCAGATGACATGACACCCCAGTGACTGTGGAAACTTGACACTGGACCTCAAGCAATGTGAATTCTGTGTCTCCTCTCTTCCTCCAGACTCTGGGACCTTGATTTCCAAAGGAAATGCAAAATTTACTGTAATCAGAGAACATAACTTTGGACCACTCAGCAGCAGTCCCAGGTGAGATGCTTCTGACGCAGTCTCTTGTTCAAAAGTGGCTTGACCTGGGGAATGCGGCACCTGTAGCCCATTTCCTGCACACGCCTGTGCACGGTGGCTCTGGATGTTTCTACTCCAGACTCAGTCCACTGCTTCCGCAGGTCCCCCAAGGTCTGGAATCGGCCCTTCTCCACAATCCTCCTCAGGGTCCGGTCACCTCTTCTCGTTGTGCAGCGTTTTCTGCCACACTTTTCCCTTCCCACAGACTTCCCACTGAGGTGCCTTGATACAGCACTCTGGGAACAGCCTATTCGCTCAGCAATTTCTTTCTTTGTCTTACCCTCTTGCTTGAGGGTGTCAATGATGGCCTTCTGGACAGCAGTCAGGTCGGCAGTCTTACCCATTTGAGTAATGAACAAGGCTGGGAGTTTTTAAAAGCCTCAGGAATCTTTTGCAGGTGTTTAGTTACGTTGTTGATTCAGATGGTTAGGTTAATAGTTTGTTTAGAGAACCTTTTCATGATATGCTAATTTTTTGGGACAGGCATTTTGGGTTTTCATGAGCTGTATGCCATAATCTTCAGAATTAAAACAATTAAAGACCTGAAATATTTCAGTTGGTGTGCAATGACTCTGAAATATATGAAAGTTTCATTTTTATCATTACATTATGGAAAATAATGACCTTTATCACAATATGCTAATTTTTTAGAAGGACCTGTATATATATATATATATATATATATATATATATATATATATATATCCTGTCTTGTTTCTAAGTTTCAGCTTTTTAATCATCAGAGATTGTTTTTTTCTTTTCAGCATATGTTGACGTAACCTCCTTCAGTATGTAAAGAGGAGAAAATGTCCAGTTTTTATTTTAATAATTTATTAAAGAAGTTAAAGCTAATTTCAGGTCAACCAGGGAGAAAATCCACATTTCAAAGAGAATTACAGAAAAATGCAACAATTCGTCATCTGACAGTTTCTGGAACATTTAATCCAACGTTTCTGCTTTTGAAAACACATGAAATCGAAATTTTATTTTAATCAAATATAATTCAACAAGTAAAAGATAAACTTGTGCGTAAATATTTAATTACTGTGTAATAAAAGAAAAACAATCGACATCAATCACTTCCTTCTGATCAGAAAACTACAGAAGAAGAAAATCAATCCCCCGTTCTGTTTTTCTTCAGACTGATTAGAAGTCTGATCAATCAGCCGCTGATTCCTCTGGTCTTTTCTGGTTATTGATCCAATCATGTGACACAGTAATGAACATCTGCAACCAATCAAAAGCTACAACTGATCTCATGAGTATCAATGGTTTATTGTGAATCTGATCAGAGCGATTGATTAGTCAGTGTCAGTTAGCTCTCATCCTGAGTGATCAATACTGGATTAAAGAAGCTGTGACTGTTTCAGAGGACACAAGGAGGGGCTGCAGAGCCTTCAGTGAGCACACCACCACATGAACAGCACCGAGGCCAGAAGACCAATCAGAGAGCTTGCAGCAGAGGAGGGGGCGGAGTTACACAGGTCAGAGTTGCAGCATCTGAAGGTGAAGCTTGACACCTGGAAGAGATCAATTATTAAAAAATAAAATGCAGTGATCCAACCAAACTAATTGCTTTATGAATTCCACAAGAACAGAAGCTGAGCATAACCATCTAAAAAAGTTCAGTCAGGTCCTCTGGACGAGTTCAAAGAACAAAAAATTGTTGAAATGTTTCGTCTTTCATCTGAAAGACTTCTTCAGTCTGAGGAACTGCAACAAACTCAGTTTTATAAATAGCACCTTCTCATGGATCAACCAGTTTTCTGCTGACAACCAGAACCAGCTGCTCACAACCAGAACCAGCTGCTCACATGGTCAAGAAGGACCATCAGCCTAACAATGGATCATTAGCACCTGATGGCTGTTTACTGTTCACAGAGGGCTGAGTGATACTAGCAATCACAGCATTGTAAGAGGGGGACAGTTGAACCTGGAGGCTCCACCCCTGTTTAATGATGGACGGTTTCTTTTCACAAAGATGGCCTCCTTTACTCCTCTCTCAAACCATCGTTCCTCTCTGTCCAGGATGTGAACATCTTCATCCCTGAAAGAGTGACCGCTGGCCTGGAGATGAGTGTAGACCTCAGAGTCCTGGCCTGATGATGTTGATCTTCTGTGCTGGTCCATCCTTTTGGCCAGTGGCTGTTTAGTTTCCCCGATGTAAGACTGATCACCCTCCTGACACTGAACAACATACACAACATTACTCTGTTTGTGCCGGGGGACTGGATCTTTGGGATGAACCAGTCTATAATGTATTTTGGAGTTTAAAAGCCACTGGGACGTTATGTTTAGAAAATAAATGTCTCAGTTTCTCTGATACTCCCTCAACATATGGAATGACCACTGGTCTGGGTCTGGGTTCCTCCTTTTCACCTGTTGGCTGACTGGAGTCTTGTTTGGGTTTCTTCTTTCAGGAAGGCCCAGTTAGGATATCCACATTGCTCTAGAGCCTGTCTTGTGCAGGATTTCTCCTTCTGCCTGGCTCCTGAGCTAGTGGGGACGCTGTCTGCTCTGTGGTACAGAGTCCTGATGACTCCTAACTTGTGCTCCAAAGGGTGATGGGAGTCAAACTGCAAATACTGGTCTGTGTGGGTGGGTTTGTAGTACACCTCAGTTTGCAAATGTCCTCTATCAGAGACTGAGACCTCACAGTCCAAGAAAGCCAAACTGCATCTTTTACAGACTCCAGCTCCTCAGGCTGAATAAGTCCTTTGGATTAAAGATGAAACGTTTCTACAATTTTTTTTTTGAACCCGTCCAGACGACCAGACTTAACTTTTTTAGATTGTTCTACCTGGATTACTGAGCAGCATCAGGATGATCCGAACCATCATGTTAAAATTGCTTTTTACAAGCAAAACAGAACAGTTCTGGTCTGTTGCAGAGGTAGGTTTGTTTGTTTGTTCTCCCAGCCTTAAACCCTGTTTCTGTTAGATATTCAGTCAGAACCTGAGTGGGTCGGTCAGAATCCTATGGGCTGTTGTGGTTCAGACAGATCCAGACTGTTAGATAGATGTGGCTTCAGCTTCAGAACCAAACCAGCAGCTTCTGCAGAACCAGAACTTTTACAGTTACTTTAGAACTGGACCATTAGGGAATTGTAAATCTCAAAATTAACCAGTCAGGGAACCGGATTGGAACAAGAATCTGACTGCAGGTTGAGAGCCTTCTTCTTTGGTGAGATGGGTTCAGGTATAACAGGTTCGTTTGAGTTTGGACATCCAGCTTTCTGAGTTCAAACCTGCTCAGGTGTGGTTTGAAGTGTAAGATGATACCTGAGGGAACATCTGAGCCAGGCGGTTCCTCTCGCAGTCCGAGTATTTCAAACACTGACGGTAGGTCATCCCACCTGTGGAACAACAGAAACGATAGTAGTTGTGCAAGAGTACAGGCATGATAAATCCATAGGCGTCGCAACCATTATATGTGAAGGGGACATGTCTCCCCACATTAAAAAAGGCATTCATTTGGAACCCCCCCCCCCCCCCCCACACACACACACACGCACACTTTTACTATGAAACATTAGTTCAGTCGGCGCAGTTTCTTTCTTCATAAATTAATCCATTCCACTTGATTAATAGGAGAATACTCAAGCCACTAAAGCTCCACTCCAGGTTTTCCTGGTTACCTCCAACTCTCCAGCAGCCTGCAGCCATCACGTTTATGTGCATCTCCTCCTGCTTCGGCAGAAAACGCGCACAGGTGGAGGAGATGGAAACACCTCTGTGTTGCTCACTCACCAGTTTAGCGAGTTTAGTGTGGGCAGTTGTTGACGGGGGGTGTCAATCATAAACATGTATACATGGTTAGGAGGTAGGTTGCTTGAGAGGAGCACTACGTAGCATCTTAGCTTAGCAGTAAGTGTGACGCTGTAAGACGCTGCAGGTGTAAGAGACTCTGTGTGTTCAGGTGCATTAAAGTTGAAATTTCTTTAAACCCCTACACCTTATTGTCCTCAAGCTTCATGAAAAACATAATTTAGATGAGTAGTGTTGAACACAAGTAAAAAAGTCCAGTGGTGATGATTTTTATTACTCTATAAAGACAAATAGTGCCGACCTGACGCTGAGTGTTAAAGTGTATTAAAGTTAAAATGTGTTTAAAACCCACAGCTGAATTTACACAAAGTTGGTGAGAAACATGATTTAAATGTGTGGAATTAAAGGAAATCCAAGTGAAATGCTGCTTTTTTTGTACACTAGTGTACAATTTTTTACGCATGTGTGCACGCATGTGTACACGTGCGCGCATACACACACACACATCATTGTGTCTCCCCCACATTACGGATGCTTCTGACGCCCTTGGGTAAACCTCTCTGAGGTACAGGTGTGTAGGTTTGATGTAACACTTGAGTATGGATGTGCAAGTGTGACATTATTCACAGGTTCAGGTTCAGGTTTGGTTTATTTGTCATATGCAGGTCAATACAAGGTCAACAATGCAATGAAATGCTGAGGACGAGAAGAACCATCTCGACTCGGCAACAAAACAACAGGAAATACCAAAGCAGCAAAAATGATGGAGATGTGAAAGGTCACAGGTGTTTTTCACACAAACCATGTGTGCGTGTGTTAGAGCAGTTTTGTCTGGACAGAGTGAAGCTGCAGATGCCTTGAGCTTTCACCTGACAAGCTGGAAGGTGAGGGTAGTCTGAGCTCACCTCTGTCTAATAACATTATAAAAAGACACTATGCTCTCTTTGAGCAGACTTGGAGATGAAGCTTGTTGCTTGTTTTTTCAATGCTGCTCCATCTTGCAAGATCAAATCCTGGGTTAAGAAAAAAATATCTTCTCCTTCCTGAGTGGCTTGTTTAATCAGAAGATGGGATAATTAAATTATCCAACAAAAAATACAAAAACAATGCACCAGAAGTGAAAAAGAAATACATCTGCAGTGTGGTTTGGTTAGCAGTGAGGTTCCTTCAGCAGCATGGTTCTGTTAGCGACGTGGTCTTGTTAACAGTGTCAGCAGGTCCTGTCAGCAGCTTGATTATAATAACGACTGCAGCAGCTGCCCTCCAAAACTGGGACTGGCAGACAGAGAAAATTCAAGGTATCCCTGTGGAGCTGAACGAGTTCTGTAGAGTTTGGTCCGTGCAGGCAGGTGGAGGATCATGGAGAGGGCCACCATGACGGGCCAGAGCCCAAGGCTGGAGGTGGGCCGAGAACTGAACCACAATGGCAGGATGGCAAGGCTTTGATACAGAAAACTCCAAAAGTGCGTTGCGGTACCCATAGCGTGGGTGTGCAGTGTAGGCACAGAAACAGTTAAAACAACTGCTAAGTTCATGGCAAAAACCAACGCAGACATGTTCCTGTTTTTAGTTTTTACATTGTTTCATAATTTAGCTGTTTTTTTGTTTCATTTTAATATCAGTTCTTTTATTTACTTTTCATTTTATATGCTTTTTATATGATTGTCTATCGTTGTCTGTACCTCATCTGTGTTCTTTGTCTAAATCAGGTCTCTCTTGTAAATGAGTGCTTGAGGCTCAGTGAGACTAATCTGTAGAAATAAAGGTTGTATGAACGAATGAATCCCACCGGCACGTCTTCCACTGAGGAAGCAGACCCTGGGGACTCTGGGTCAGGCCCTCCTTTCTCTGGTGCTGAGGTCACCGAGGTGGTTAAAAAGCTCCTCGGTGGCAGGGCCCCAGGGGTGGATGAGATTTGCCCGGAGTTCTTTAAGGCTCTGGATGTTGTAGGGTTGTGTTGGCTTACATGACTCTGCAGTATTGCGTGGACATTGGGGGAAGTTCCCCTGGATTGGCAGACCGGGGTGGTGGTCCCCCTATTCAAAAAGGGGGACCGTAGAGTGTGTTCCAACTACAGGGGAATCACGCTCTTAAGCCTCCCTGGTAAGGTCTATTCGGGGGTTCTGGAGAGGAGGGTCCGTCGGATAGTCGAACCTCGGATTCAGGAGGAGCAGTGCGGTTTTCGTCCTGGTCGTGGAACACTAGACCAGCTCTACACTCTCAGCAGGGTCCTGGAGGGTGTGTGGGAGTTTGCCCAACCGGTCTACATGTGCTTTGTGGACTTGGAGAAGGAGTTTGACCGCGTCTCTCGGGAAACCCTGTGGCAGGTACTCTGGGAGTATGGGGTACCGGGCCCTTTGATAAGGGCTGTTAGGTCCCTGTATGACCGGTGTCAGAGCCTGGTCTGCATTGCCGGCAGTAAGTCGGGCTTGTTCCCGGTGAGAGTTGGACTCCGCCAAGTTTGCCCTTTGTCACCGATTCTGTTCATAACTTTTATGGACAGAATTTCTAGGCGCAGCCAAGGTGTTGAGGGGATCCGTTTTGGTGGCCTTAGGATTGCATCTCTGCTTTTTGCAGATGATGTGGTCCTATTGGCTTCATCAGATCGTGATCTACAGCTTTCGCTGGAGCGGTTCGCAGCAGAATGCGACGCGGCCGGGATGAAGATCAGTTCTTCCAAATCCGAGGCCATGGTCTTGAGCCGGAAAAGGGTAGAGTGCCCTTTCCGGGTCAGGGAGGAGGTCCTACCCCAAGTGGAGGAGTTCAAGTATCTTGGGGTCTTGTTCACGAATGAGGGAAAAATGGAGCGTGAGATCGATAGGCGGATAGGTGCAGCGTCTGCAGTGAAGCAGGCGCTGTACAGTTCTGTCATGGTGAAGAGAGAGCTGAGTCAAAAGGTGAAGCTCTCAATTTACCGATCGATGTACGTTCCTACCCTCATCTATGGTCACGAGCTTTGGGTTGTGACCGAAAGAATGAGATCTCAGATACAAGCGGCCGAAATGAGTTTTCTCCGCAGGGTGTCTGGGCTATCCCTTAGAGATAGGGTGAGAAGCTCGATCATCTGGGAGGGACTCAGAGTAGAGCCGCTGCTTCTCCACGTCGAGAGGAGCCAGTTGAGGTGGCTTGGGCATCTGTTTAGGATGCCTTCTGGATGCCTCCCAGGTGAGGTGTTCCAGACATGGCACACCAGAAGGAGGCCCAGAGGAAGACCCAGGACATGCTGGAGGGACTATATTTCTCGGCTGGCCTGGGAACGCCTCGGGATTCCCCTGGAAGAGCTGGCCCAAGTGGCTGGGGAGAGGGAAGTCTGGGCCTCCCTACTTAGGCTGCTACCCCATGACCCGACCCCGGATAAGCGGAAGAAAATGGATGGATGGATGGATGGATGAACGAATGAAAAAACAACAGGAACAAAAAAAGAGTAAAAGCAGAGCTCCCATAGGTGCGGCCATACTGCGGCGGACGTGATGTCACAACATCACAGAATGCAGAATGGTATACACAACAGGTGCAGTACACCTTTCAGGTACATGTGGCACATCACTCAGATTTATATTCAGACATGATTTACCTCTTAAATATAGGTCTACAGGTGTGGTGTACATCTCTCAGGTACAGGTGGGTAAATGTGCGTGTTTGATGTACCTTTCAGGTACAGGTGTGCAGGTGTGGCATACCTCTCTCAGGTACAGGTGTGCAGGTGGGGTGTACCTCTTACATATAGGTCTACAGGTGTGGTGTACCCATTAGGTACAGATGTGCAGGTGTGGTGTACCGCTTACATATAGGTCTACAGGTGTGGTGTACCTCTCAGGTACATGTGGGTAAATATGCATGTGTGGCATAATTCTCTCAGCTACAGGTGGGTAAATTTGCAGATTTGGTGTACCTTTCTCATGTACAGGTGTGCAGGTGTGGCAAACCTCTCTCAGGTACAGATAGATAAATGTACAGATGTAGTGTACCTCTTTCTTGTACAGGTGTGGCGTACCTCTCTCAGGTACAGGTGGGTAAGTGTGACAGTGTGGTGTACCTCTCTCATGTATAGGTGTGCAGGTGTGGTGTACCTCTCATGTACAGGTTTTCAGGTGTGGTGTACCTCTCTCAGGTACAGGTTTTCAGGTGTGGCATACCTCTCTCAGATACAGGTGGGTAAATGTGCAGATGTGGTGTACCGCTCTCATGTACAGGTGTGCTGGTGTGACGTACCTCTCTCAGCTACGGGTGTTCAGGTTTGGTGTACCTCTCTCAGGTACAGGTGGGTAAATTTACAGATGTGGTGTGCCTCTCATGTACAGGTGTGCAGGTGTGGTGTACTGCTCTCAGGTACAG